TATATATATATATATATATATATATATATATATATGATGGAACAAGTCTTCTGAAAATGGTACATAATCCCTCATGCCCTTTATCTCATCTAACTTCCAAAAAAAAAAAAGTGAAGGGACAACAACTACAATACAGTCCAGCCATGGAGAAACAAAAATTGAGTAGAAAGTTAAAAGTGAGCCTATGGGATGTATTAAAACAACATGAGTCCCATAGCAATGTTAGAAACAGTAGCTATCTTAGGATCATTGTCATTGTCAGCCACAAACCTTTCAAAACCTCAACTACATGTAATATTCAATTATAAACCAACATATTGACCATAATTTCCAACAAATCTTTTCCTTACACTTCTAAACCGCAATTCATGGTTTTGTTTGATATATTGACGAAATTGTGAGAAAATCGATGTAAGTAACTGCTGCTTATTCAGATTATAGTAGCTTTCTTTCGATATATATAAAACAATGTGACACTAATCAATAAAAGAACACAATACAAAAACCGGAGCACAATGATTGATTAGAGAATCAATCCTAACTTCAACATAATCCATTCCTAGAGAAGAAGTTGAAGAACACAATAAGTTAACAATGCAAACTTAGAGCAGATTGATTGATTGGAAGATGGAGCCCTAATGTGAGCGTGAGAGCAGGTTGTGAGAGTTCGATAACTTCGTCCTGAGAATAACTCGACTGTGAGAGCACGCTGTAAGAGTTTGATTGTGACAGCAGGCTGCGAGAATCGCTCAACTCACTGCAACAAAATCAGGTTTATAGGACACTTCCAATTTCTAAGCGTCCTAATAGACCTCTTTATAAGACTAGTTTATAGGACCAAAAAAATAAAACGTCTTATCTAAAGGCGTTGTAATAAATTTATATGACATTTTTTGACGTCGTAATAAGTTTTTTAGGAAATTTTTAATATAAAGCGTCTCATTAGCAACTTTATAAAACATTATTTGAAAATTGTTCTATAAAAACAAATGTCCAAAAAATTGAGTTTATAGGACACTTTCTCAAAAGTGTCCTATAAAGTTGTTAATGTGACACTTTGTATTAAAAATATCCTAAATAGCTTGTTAAAACGCCCAAAACATCATATAAACTTATTACAATACATTTAGATATGACGCTTTATATTTTGGACCTATAAATTAAATTCTATAAAGCTGTATATTGAGACGCTTAGAGATCGGGGGTGTCCTGTAAATCCAATTTTGTTGTAGTAACTATTAATTGATTAGGTTTATTTTGAAATTTTTAGTCCAATTTTACAACCCAATTTAAAACGTTGAATCATGTTTTATTATATTTATTTATTTAAATGTTGCATGATCTTTTATTATTTATTTGAGTATGATATTTTTTTAAAATTAAATACGTAATTAAAATTTTGATGATAAAATATTAAACTCATAGTTACAAGAATTTTGTTACAATTTTATTTATTTATAATATTTTACTTTATAGAATATATTTTAGAAAATATCTTGTTTAGTTAGTAACCATTATTTTTGGTCATTAATCATTTTAAATTAGTGACAACTACTTTTTTTGTTACTAAAACTTTGAACTTAGTGACCATCATTTTTTGGTCATCAAACTGTTCAACTCACTGACCATTATTTTGGTCACTAAACACATGAATTTATAACATCAATGATCAAAAAATACGGTCGTCACAAATTTAGTCATTAAAATAAATTGATATGAAAAATCTTTTTTTTTTTTTTTGCATGAGAATTAGTGACCACTTAGTAATCAAGTTTATTTTTTGTTACTAAAGTTCATATTACAGCTATAATCGGAGGATGGGGTTCGTGTGATTGCTTTTAAAACCTAATGCTCATGGGATTGTCATACATTTAATTTCTCATAGATTTGATCGGTTAGATGTTTTTATCTGTTAATGTCAGACATGGAAATCCAGTACAAGCAACAAATGACATCGGTTTAAAAACGATGTTATCCCGTTATTCTATTCCATTTCAAAGTCTTATTAACTTTAAATTTGTATATCATCTTATACACGACTTAAAATCACAACAAACTGTAAAATTAGCATCGAGAGAGAGAGAGAGACGGAGAGTAAAACAAAACATGAAACAAGATTGCCATTTTTAGGTTTTTAGTTTCAAAATCGAGATGTTTCTTACTGCATGCATCAGCGTTACGTATGGATGTATTACTTAACGGATAAATTATAAAATTGAAGTTTCGATATTTTAGCCGTTAACCCTGGAATAAAAGTAGTTGATTGGGTCTGCCGCCTGAGTATGTGGACGTTAACATGACGACGAAGATCTACAGTTACATTGGGATATCCTTGGAGAATATTATTTTAAGAAAATACTAAACAATTTTAGATTTGGGTAATATTCTGATGTCAAAATCGACGTCGTTCTCTTTAATTTTTTTGTATGAAACGACTTCTTTTCCATCCAAATTGGGTTATTTTCATTAATACCCTTTTACTTTTGCATAATTGATTTTTCCATCCCTAAAATATGTTTATTTCTTTCAAGTATTGGATTTTTGAAATTACAATGACTTTTTGAAACATTTTAGTTATAATCTGACCCCAATGGTATTTGCTTGAGAAATATGTTAACATTCTAGCATGAGTTAAATAGTACAGGGTGCTTGAGTGAATACCACATAAATCTAGGGAGTTGAAAATAAATAATACCAAAGTTGAAGGATCTAAATTACACTTTCGGTTTCTATATAAGAGCTGCCCGAACAAGCACTTGTTTAATGTACTACAACTAACAATAAATACAATGAGCTTTGAAAATTATGATCCTTATTTTCCTGACCAGGTGGTGGTTGATCAATACCTCCCGGTCTGGGCTAACCTTCCCTCCTACCGGTCCAAGCCGGCTTTCATTTGGGCCGAAGATGGTTCTTCCGGTTCACCAAAATGCTCGAGTCTCACTTACGAGGGGTTGAACTACTCGGTGCACTCGATCGCTTCCCAACTTGCACTATCCTTCCAAAGGGGTGATACGGTCGTCATCTTATGCTCCCCTGGGCTCGAGCTCGTTGAGATCCTATTTGGATGTCAACGGGCTGGACTTGTGGGAGTGCCGATCATCCCTCCAAACCCTACTTTTTCAAATGATAATCACCATCACCTTATTCGTGTTTTGTCTCAAACACGACCGAAAGTGGCTATCGCAGACCGAGGTTACATTGCGAACGTCCAAGAATACATCAAACGTTCTCGTCCTGAAAACCCCCTCGCTAATCTATTGCGAAATCTCGTATGGATATCTATGGAAAGTCTTAGGGAGGAAAATGTAAGCTATGACAAGAGCATACATTCATCGTATCAAGGTTGCAAGCAAGATGAGGTGTACTTGATTCAGTACACCTCTGGGGCAACCGGGATCCCCAAGCCTGTTTTGGTGACGGCAGGAGCAGCCGCTCATAATGTCAGAGTGGCTAGAAAATCCTACGATCTTCACCCAAACAGCATCATAACGTCATGGCTACCCCAGTACCATGATTGTGGGCTTATGTTTCTCTTATTAACAATCGTTTCGGGTGCGACTTGTGTGTTGACCTCACCCAACGCATTCATCAACCGGCCAAGGCTATGGCTTGAGTTGATAACCAAGTTTAAGGCGACTTGCACTCCAGTACCCTCGTTCACATTGCCATTGGTCGTCAAACGAGGCAAAGCTTCTGACGAACAACGCCTTCCCATAAACCTATCCACCATGAAAAACCTGATAATCATCAATGAACCGATATACCATGAAGCCATTAAGCAATTCGTGGATGTGTTCACCAAATTTGGTCTAAAACCTTCCTCAATTTCCCCATCCTACGGGCTAGCAGAGAATTGCACCTTCGTCTCGACAGCATGGAGATCAAGATTGCAAGAGGTTGATTTCCCTATCTACAAGAAGCTATTACCGAGTGCTAAACTTAGGTATGATGAAGAAGATGATGAAGAAGAACAAATCAACATATATATCGTCGATGAGGAAACAAACGAGCTCGTGGAAGATGGCTTTGAGGGTGAGATATGGATCGCTTCTTCCCCCAGCAATGCCTCCGGCTACTTGCACCACCCTTCTTTAACCCAAGAAATCTTTCAGAGTAGATTGAAAGGAAGCTTCAGCCAACAACACTTCATTCGAACAGGCGATAGAGGGATCATCAAAGGCACCGAAAGATTCCTCTTTGTCACAGGCCGATGTTCTGACATAATAAAACACGAAAACGGATTCGAAACTCATGCTCATTATCTGGAAACTGCAGCATATGAATCGTGCATGAGGTTTCTGCGAGGAGGGTGTATTGCAGCATTTGACATTGATGGGAGTATGATAGCGATTGTTGCAGAGATGCAGAGGAGTGGTGAGGAAGACGAGGGAATGCTGAGGAGGATATGTGAAGGGATAAGAGGGTTCACGATGAAAGAAGAGGGTATTGAGGTGGGGTTGATTGCGTTAGTAAAGAGTGGGAGTATTCCTAAAACAACATCGGGAAAGATACAGCGATGGCTTGCTAAAGATAGATTCATGAGGGGTGAAATGGGTGTGGTGATGGAGATGAAGTTCAGTGAAGAAGATGAGAGTTTAAAGAAAACTTTAGGGCAAACTCTGATGATACGTCAAAGTGAAAAAAGGAAGCCATTGTTATACAGTAATTTATGAATATGTGAAAGGCAACTCAACATGGCAATCTTAAGATAACCAAAAGATTTCATGGGTGTGCTCCTCGTATGCCCAATGAATCATCACGATGCATCAATAAATGGACAGTAAAAGTTTGATTATTATATATTAAAATGAAGAATTGATGTGTTCATTTGCCATAACGATTATTGGTTTCATTGAAGTTGTTGTCACATATGAAAAGCTTTCAGAAAATACAGATTTGGACATGTAAGTACTCGTTTGTTAAAACAATCACATGACAACTCAAATCGAAAATACAACAAAATTGGGTTTATTGGACACCCTAATTTTTAAGCGTCTCAATAGACTGTTTTATAGGACTTAATTTATATGACCAAAATATAAAACGTCCTATCTATAGGTGTTGTAATAAGTTTATATGACGTCAAGTTTTTTAGGACATTTTTAATACAAAGTGTCGCAATGGCAACTTTATAGAACACTTTTGAGAAAGTGTCCTATAAACTCAATTTTTTATAGGACATTTTTTAAATAATGTCTTATAAAGTTGCTAATGGGACGTTTTATATTAGAAGTGTCTTAAAAAACTTGTGACGACGTCAAAAAACGTCATATAAACTTATTACAACGCCTTTAGATAGGATTCTTTATTTTTTTGGTCCTATAAATAAGTCTATTAGGACGCTTAGAAATTGAAAGTGTCTTATAAACCCGATTTTGTTGTAGTGTGATTATGGGATCTCTGTAAGATCATTTATACTAGAAAAAAATGGGCAAAAGCTCGTGTAAATGAGTTATCGTTTATATTCATCAAGTATTTAAGATGTATTGTGCAACATATTAAAAATAATGTACAAAAAATAGAAAAATATTTCAAAGTGAATGTTGAAATAATAATGTAACTATGCATGCACAACATATAACATTGGAACATTTTCATGGAACATGTTACACACATACTAAATATTGTTAAAACAGACACACATACATACATCGTTTAATCAGAAAGCTTTATTGTAGTGATTAGTATTTGACCAAGTGAGTCTAATACACATGTGTTGATGTTCGTATCAGTACCAATCCGATGTTAAATCAGTTCCGAAAATCTACACCATGGTGAGTCTTCAATGACTTTACAATATGAGATAACCGGTAAGTGCGATTAAAGAATCTATTGCATGCTATAGCATACACTAGTACATAAATGCACATTCTACACCATTTTACAATCGTGTAAAACACCACAGTAGCAAATGTTAATTGGACACCTTTCTACACGGTTTCAGAACTATATATGATGGTGATAAAAAAACAGTATAAAATGTGCATATGATTACATGCATGGTTCCTTGTCCGAACTCCAAAACCATGTAAAACGATGCTCATTTTCACACAATGTTTAAATAAAAAACCATGTAAGAAGGCACTAAATCCTGAAGGGTTTTTTACAAAAATTCCTTTGGAATTTCATCGTTAAAAGTGGGATTTGTCGCTGAAAGTCTATTGGTCAAAAGTTGGTCCGAGAAGATATCACCGATGCATTTCTGAGAGAAACATTTACTGGCATATTCGCGACAGCACAAATTTTTGACAAATCCATTTTTTCAACGGATTACAAAAGGGTTTCATTAGCAACGGATTTTTGAGGGCCTCCACTACTGACGGATTTCCTAGGGTACATTTTACCTATGGATTACTGAATGGTTTCATTACCATCGAATTTCTGAGGGCCTCCATAAAATCGGATTTATGAGGGCATATACTTGACTTATTTTTGTAGGCATCAATTACGAGGTATTTCCAAGGCTTCTCCGACAGTACCCTCTACTATCACTAACAAATTTATACTGAAGGACTTGTATTGCCAATATATTGTATGTATTAATATATCATGCACCATATGTGTGTATGTATTAATCTATTCATATACCCCTCACTTCAAAACATTATGGTCATTCTACTCCTGGAATCTGACGTGGTAATGACATGGCGTTGACATTGATTATTGATATTTTTCTTAATTATAATATTGTATCATGACTCATATTTCAACCTGCAACCGTCACCACGGAGCAGAAACATAAACACAACTCCATATGCAATTAGAAAAAGAAGAAACGGTTTAAAAAACAATCAATGAAACATTATACAAAATGATAATCAGAAAGCATACACACACATGAACACAAACAAATCAAACACAACCACAACAGAGAAAAGAAGAAGCATATGTATAAATAAATCAAGTTTACTTTCCTAAAAAAACACTTCAATGTTTATTTAATAAATAATATTAATTATCTTAAATTAATAATTTAAAAAAATGTTACAAACCCATAAGAAACGATTTAAAATGTTATATAATTTTTCATAAAAAACTATGATTTTAGATATTTTTTACATATGTTTGTAATAACGTTTTGTGAAAAATACATCTGAAACTTTTTCTTTGTTCAATTGTGAAACAAAAAGTATACGTTACAATATATCATATTGTGAAACAATATTTAGAAAATAACACATTATGAAATAAATATGTACAAAATAATATCATAATCCTAACCTTTAATGGAAAAAAAATCCATTTTAAAATATTGTTAAAGTTTTCTTAGAAAAGAAAAATATTATTAAGGGGGTGTTTGGGATTGCTTATAAAAAAAACTTATTGACTTATTTCGGTGTGACATCGGTAATAAGCACTTTGATTGTGTGGATAAACAACTTATACCAGTGACAAACCGGTAATAAAGAGTTTTTGAAGAAGTTAAACCCTCCTGACTTATTATAAGTTGATAATTACTTTTATAAAAAACATAAGTTATTTCAAATAAACAATCTCAAACACCCTATAAGTTGGTTCTCACCAATCTGTTAAAGTCCAAGTGGAGTTTAACAATAGAGGCCTAAGCCCATTTATGCTTGGCCCATATGTGTGCTCATTTGTGTTTGTGTTTCTTTATGTTTATGATTTGTAATTGTTTGCGTTCGTTTAGCATCTAAACAAATATACATCGTTAAGAAAGTTTATCCCTTTATATGCTTGTGCTCATTTAGTATCTTAAAAAAGGAACACCGTTAAAAATATTTGTTCGTTTATATGCTTATGTTCATTCATTTATTCTGTTATAGCTTAACGACTGAAAAAAAAAATTGTAGTTGAAATAAGATCAAAAATAATATTGCACCTTTGTAGAATCTAAACAAATTTTGTAGAAACTTGTCATATTAACTATAAGTTTATTTAGGTAGTAGACTTGTAGGTTTTCATCACAACTTGGATCTTTATTTAAGAACCTAACTTTTTTTTAGTGTTTTACAAATTTATTATATTTTTTTTAATGAAAATATATGAATTAAAATTTATATAAGAAGTATAAATTAATAATTACAAAATGTAACTATGAGAATCACAAAATACTTTAAAAGCCTAAGGAACAAAATTTATGGTGTGAAATTGTATAAGTTATTTTTGATACTCTCTCATTGATTTGATGATAATCTCTTTTACCTATTGAAGTATAGTGTTTCTATTTATTCAGTTTCAGCGATCATCATGATCGTTGAAACATATATTGTAACTCTCTAATGACTCTTATACTTCAAGAAGACAAAATTCACACCAAGGAACCTTTAGCAATGTCAAAGACAGAAACTGAAGATTAGAGACTAGTGCGTTCGTGATCTGAAGCGGCATTCAGTGATTACAAACTAGTCAACGAATGCTGAAGAGACCTCCAACGTCATCTCACCATTCAGCGATCAAATGAAACGTACCATGCACGTTTGTTTTTGTCTTGTCCGTCATACACTAAGGACAAACACATACATTTTCTAGAGCACAGTATAGTACGAAGGGAATTAGTTGACTCTAGTGCTTACCAACTCTATGAAAAGATGTCTGCTCGTGAATAGACAAAATGATTATTCACCGTAGCAAAGGACAAACTTTCCTCTAAAAGCTTGACACGTATTGTGTACCTTCTGAATTGCATTTAATGCAATAGGTATAAATAGTTGAGTGCTCTCCACTGAGATATACAAGCAATTAGAATTTGTCTTTCTTATTCTAAGAAGCATACCCAAAAAGAAACCTCTATCTACTCTCTCTCTCTCTCTCTCTCTCTCTCTCTAAAGAGAAAGAATCACTTCAAGCAAGTGAAGAACACATTTCCAAGTCTTAATTTCTTACGGCAAATCGTTTCTATTTCCTAAGTGTATTTGTGTGCACCTCTAGATTGTTTGTATATGTTTTTCTTTACCTTATCTTTTCCTCAAACAATATGTAAAATTTGTATTAATCTTTCTTTATCGATATATAATTTTAAAAGTGAAAGTTTATGTGTTTATATTCATTCCCCTCCCCTTTCTACAAACTGTTACCTATAAACTCTTGTAGATCGGGCTGGGACTAACAGTTTCATCAAAACATGTATAAATCAATATATATTCATTAATGGGCATATATTGTATATTCATTGATCAGTATATTTATTTCTATCTCTTTTCTTGTCAATGTGTATATTTAACAATGAACCATACTCTCTCTATCTCTCTTCATATGTATAGAGAGAGATATATATGGAGGTTCATAGAAGAATGATACGTATTTAAGAAAATAAGATAATAATTTGTGGTCAATCATTTATTTGAATATTACCTTAAATAAAACTTTCTAAAAATCGTCCAAAATGATATATGTGTCATTTGTTGTATTTATTTATCATTTTTTTTATAGTGTTGTGATTTAAGCATGATTAATTTTTTGTTTATTTATTTTCTACTTTTACAACATTTAAAATAAGTGTGATTTAGTTTTTCATTTAAAATATTTGTTTCTATTGAAATAGTTTACTTAAGAATCTTTACATTTTTCGTCAAAAATCATATGTGATATCCGCAATTAATTGATGTCTTTTCCATAAAAGAATTGTTAATGTTTGTCGATATATCATATGTGATATTGATTATAGCGTAAAAGAAATGTAAGTCATTTACACTATTACATGTGATATATG